ACAACTTCTCAAGATGGATCTCCAACCAACTCAAAAAGATGAAAGCTTCAACAATATTAAAAGCCAACATGGAAGAGGTAGTGGACAACGACGAGGTCATGCTAGCAAGCAAGGATGGGGTACCAACAATAAATATGGGAAAGGAGAAATATCTAAAAGAGGACGTGGTCGAGGGCGCTCAAACTCAATGTATGATAAATCTCAAATTAAGTGCTATAATTGTAACAAGTTTGGGCATTATGCGAAAGAATGTAGAGCACCTAAGTACAAATTTAATGAAAGAGTCAAATACATAGAAGAAAAAAGAAAAGAAGATGACACTACTTCTAGCATACAAAGACAATGAAAGAGGTGAAGATAGTACGTGGTACCTGGACACCGGTGCAAGCAACCATATGTGTGGGAGACAAAGCATGTTCGTAGAGCTTGACGAATCAGTAAGCGACAATGTATCTTTTAGAGATGAGTCCAAGATAGAGGTAAAAGACAAAGGTAACATTCTTATCCGTCAGAAAAATGGGAAGCATCAATTTATTTATAATGTTTACTTTGTGTCGAATATGAAGAGCAACATCTTGAGTTTAGGGCAACTCTTAGAGAAAGGATATGATATTCACTTGAAATAAAATACTCTCTTCTTAAAAGACAATATTGGTAACTTGATTGCTAATGTGCTAATGTCTGAAAATAAAATATTCTTGCTCAACATTCAAAACGATATTGTCAATGTCTCAAGACATGTTATAAAGATGCTTCTTGGTTGTGGCATCTTCGATTTGGGCATCTCAACTTTGGAAGACTCAAATTGCTTTCAAAGAAAGAGATGATGAGAGGATTATCTTGCATCAACCACCATGATCAATTATGTGAAGGATGTTTACTCAGAAAGCACTTCAGGAAAAGCTTTCCAAGGGAGGCAAGTTCAAGAGCCCAAAAACCTCTTGAGCTCATACATACAGATGTCTGCAGACCAATAAAGCCAAGCTCACTCGGTAAGAGCAACTATTTTATTCTCTTCATAGATGATTTTTCAAGAAAAATATGAGTGTATTTCTTAAAACAAAAATTAGAGGTTTTTGGAATATTCAAGAAGTTTAAGGCAGATGTAGAGAAAAAAAGTGGTCTCAAGATTAAAGCTATGCGATATGATCGAGGAGGAGAATTCACTTCAAAAGAATTTCAAAAATTCTGTGAAGCCAACAGAATACGTCGACTTCTAACTGTTCCAAGATCCCCCCAACAAAATGAAGTAGTGGAAAGGAAGAATAAAACCATCCTTAACATGACAAGAAGCATGTTAAAAAGCAAGAGATTGCCGAAGGAGTTTTTGGGCAGAAGCGGTTGCATGTGCTGTTTATTTGGCTAACCGATCACCAACAAGAAGTGTGTTAGGAAAGAAATCACAAGAAGCATGGAGTGGAAGGAAGCCCGACATCTGTCATCTACAAGTTTTTGATGCATAACTCATGTACACATACCCGACGAGAAAAGAAGTAAACTGGATGACAAGAGTAAGAGTGACAAGTTCATTTTCATTGGTTAAGACAATAACTCGAAAGGCTACAAGCTATACAATCCAAATATAGGGAAGAAAACCATCAACAAAGATGTCATATTCGATGAAGGAGGAGAATGGGACTGAGAACTACATGATGAGGACTATAACTTTTTCCCATACTTCCAAGAAGAAGACGTAGAGTAGCCAAGGATTTAGCAAGCAATAGAAGAGCCTACTACTCCACAAAAAACATTGACTACAAGTACTCAAAGCGACTCATCGTCATCAACTTCAAGATAAAATTCAAGTGAAAGAGTACTACGCTTCAGAAGATTAGAAGAACTTTATGAGGTAACTATGAATCAAGATAATATTACTCTTTTTTGTCTCTTTGCCGATTGTGAACCCATAGACTGCCAAGAAGCCATACAAAGCAAGAAGTGGAAAGATGGAATTGATGAAGAAATAAATTAAGAAGACCGATACATGGGAGCTAGCTTCACTTCTTAAAGGGCATAAGGCAATTGATGTGAAGTAGGTGTACAACACAAAGAAGAATTCTAAAGGATAAATTGAAAGATATAAGGTAAGATTGGTGGCAAAAGGGTACAACCAAAGAGCAGGCATCGAGTATGATGAGGTATTTGCCCCTGTTGCTTGATTAGAAACTATTAGACTAATCATCTCTTAGACAACTCAAAATAAGTGGAGAATACATCAAATTGATGTAAAATCTGCCTTCTTGAATGAAATACTTGAAGAAAAAGTCTACATTAAGCAACCATCAGGATATGAAGACAAAGGACAAGAAGATAAGGTTCTAAAGCTAAAAAAAGGCTCTCTATGGGCTGAAGCAAGCACCGAGAGCATGGAATAACCGAATATACAAGTATCTGCAAGAGAAAGGCTTCATGAAGTGTCCTTATGAGCATGCTCTTTACATAAAGAATGAGGATGAAAATGTCTTGATTATTTGTTTATATGTTGATGACTTGATCTTCATCGGAAGCAATCCAAACATGTTTGAAAAGTTCAAAGAAGCGATGACAAAGGAGTTTGAAATGACAGATATTAGGCTCATGGCATACTACCTTAACATTGAAGTCAAGCAAACAAAAGATGAGATTTTCATCTTTCAAGAAGGTTATGCAAGGGAGATATTAAATAAGTTCAAGATGGATAATAACCAACCTATAAAAACCCCTGTAGAATGTGGAGTCAAGCTATCAAAGTATGATGAGGGAAAAAGAATTGATCCAATGATTTTCAAGAGTTTGGTTGGAATTTTGCGCTACTTGACATGCAAAAAACCTGATATTCTTTATGTTGTTGGATTTGTTAATCGCTACATGGAGACTCTGACTACTACCCACCTGAAGTTCGCTAAAAGAATTATGCGTTATATCAAAGTTACAATTGATTTTGGCTTACTTTGCTAATCATCCAACAATTTCAAGCTTGTAGGATATAGCGACAGTGATTGGGCTGGAGACATGGATGATATAAAGAAGACATGGATGATATAAAGAGCACTATAGGGTTTGTGTTCTTCATAGGAGACAATACTTTCACTTGGATGTCAAAGAAACAACCAATTGTCACTCTTTCTACTTGCGAAGCAGAGTACGTGGCTCTAACCTCATGTATTTGTCATGTAATTTGGCTTCAAAACCTATTAAAGGCGTTAAGTTTACCACAAGAAGAGGCAATCAAGATTTATATCGATAACATGCTTGCAATATCGCTAGCAAAGAATCTAGTTTTCCATGATTGAAGCAAGTACATTGATATGCGCTATTACTACATCAGATAATGCATCGAAAGAAAGGAGATACAAGTGGAGTATGTGAAATCTCAAGATCAAGTTGCAGATATTTTTACCAAGCCACTCAAGAACAAAGATTTTATTAAAATGAGAAGTTTACTTGGAGTCACAAAATTAAGTTTAAGAGGGAGTGTTAAAATATAAACTTGATTTTAGTTGTTTAAATAAAGCCTAATTTCTAGAAGCTTATTCTAGAAGTTATGGTAGGTATGAAATTATTGTGTGGTAGGTATAGAATTATTTGTAACCATTAGATTAGAATTGTAGTGACACAATCCTAGCCATTAAATTAGGAGGTGTAACTAGTATAAATAGGAGTGGAGTCTTTGACTTTGTATCAAACCAAGTAAAGGTGAAATAAAAGTGAAGCTTCTTCCATAATTTTTTAGCCTTTGTCATATCCTAAAAACTTCTCCATTTCAACATAAATTGCATAGCTTTAATGTTGTTGAGATAGAGGACTCAAATTTCTTCTATTAATACTATAATCAAGTCTTATTTTGATTAATTGTACGTAATTCTTTTGAGATTTTATGATAATATTAGGAGAAACGGTGAATTAATTAATTTCACAATCATAAATATTAGCACGAGGGGGCATTTACATTCATACCACATAATTTTTGTACATGTGCATATCGAATACCTAGACTTTTACATTTACATGCACAGTATTCAATTTTTTAAAAATATGTCGCAAAAATATCACAATTATTTATTTTGTAAACGTAAAATATATTTTTTGAAGCAAAATCTTATGATAATCATGTGTTGCACATGTAATTATAAGAGCTCATGTATTATTATTGAAAATACAGAATAATACATGGTATGGTATGTATGCAATTTTTCCTAAAAAAAACCTCTTGGGATTATATATATTTTTTTTTTTTGCAATAAATGTATATATATTTGCCGTATACGTCCGAGAATGTGTATAGATATCCAAACACAGCTACAAATATTAGGTGCTTCTTAATGGAACCATTGGCTTTAGTTAAGCAAAAACTAAATTTAGGATGTACAATTAGGGGTGTAAACGAACCGAACACGAACGAACAAAGCTTGTGTTCGTGTTCGTGTTCGGTTCGTTTAAAATTTAGTTTGTTTGAAATAAGCTCGTGTTCGTTTCTTAACGAACGAGCCGAACACGAACCGAACACGAGCTGTTCGCGAACGACGAGCCAATTTGACATCCCTAATATTAATATATAAAAATAATATTATATATTAATTATATAACTTATATTATATAAATATACAATATCTATATTAGTATATTACTACTATAGTATATTAATATATTATTATTATTATTTTATTATATATTATAATTTATAAAATTTAATGTTTTAAAATATAATAAATTTTTTATATATAATTATTTTATATTATTTTATATTTCAAACAATAACGATTCGAACACGAACGAACGCATCACTGTTCGTGTTTGATTCGTTTAACTAACCGAACGAAAAAAATTTGTTCGTGTTTGTCTCGTTTACTTATCGAACGAATCGAACACGAACTCATTGACGAACCGAACACGAACTGTTCGCGAACAACGAGCTTTTTTGACAGCCCTATGTACAATATATAGCAAGAAAACCTTATATAACTAAATTTTAGCGAACCCATCCGACAGGAGTGAACCGAAAGAAAGAAGCCGCGAAAACGATGGATTCAAGAAGACCTTCCTTATGCCTCATTCTGCCTGCAATAATCTTTCTCGTCCTCATTTGCATGGCTTTCCAGCTTGCCAAACTTCGGCCTATCGATCTTACAATGGAAGCTCAATTTGAACAGTGGATCATTCAGCAGAAACGCGTCTACGAGAACGCCACCGAGAAGGCGCGCCGGTTTAGTATCTTCAAGGCCAACGTTGAGTACATTGACTCATTTAACGCCAAAGGAGACCGTACAGTCAGGCTTGGAGCCAACCAGTTCGCCGATCGTACCGATGAAGAGTACACTTCTAGACTAACTTCCAACGTTGAACCCCCGCTTAAGAGAAACAATGAATCGTTTCGTTATGCCAACGTGACGGACGTCCCATATAGAATCGACTGGAGGAAGTTAGGTGCTGTCACTCCCATCAAAGATCAAAAGAGATGTGGTACATCAAAGATCAAGTAGGGCCTAGGAGGGCATTTTTTTCATCTCATATTTAAATTTTTACTTGTATGGAAAGGCAATTTGATCTTTTGCCCCCTGATGAGACATGTTTTATCAGGATGCAAAGAAATAGAGTCCAAGCAAGGTTTGTGTGGTATTGCCATGTTTGTCAATTATCCAATTGCTTGATCTTCTGAAGCACTTGTATGTTAGATTAAGTGTGTTTTTCGCACTAATTTTAGCATATTTATATGCTTTTGGTGTAATTAATGGTTCTTTGAATTCGTTTATTCAATAGACCTTTTTTGATGTGTTTTTCATATAATCAATGGTTATATAAAAGCTGACTAGAATCCATCTTATTATGACAAATTTATTGATATATCATTTTACAAACCCATGCGTATGTTGGCAAAAGGATAAGCCCACCATCGAATTCAATGTATGTTATCCAAAATTTATAAGCAAAGCATTGCATGCCTTATACTGCATATGCAGAGTATATTGTATTAAATCTTGACATTATAAGATGCATAAATAGAATGGGTATTAAATTAACAACAAGTCAATTATTAACATATTTGTACTTAAAATTAACATTGATTATCTATTGCTAGCTTGACATAAAATGAATATAAAACTACCATAAGTAATTACTAAAAAATTCCAAAAAATATAATACTTAAAATTAATAAATAAAATATGAAAATTAAATTCTTAAGATGATCAAAATTACTACTTTTTTGCTAAAATCAATTAGCTTTTGTAGAAAATAATTTATGGCGAACTTCCGGACAAATATAAGGTTGGCGATAAGTAGAGACTTAAGTTGGTTAAGTTTAATTTAATTTTACTGGTTTGTTTCAGATTGATAATTAAGTTTGATTTTTTTAAAACTGGTTATTAAGATATGAAAATGATGTTCATATTCTTAGAACTGATTTGTTGCAAAATTTTATGGTTTTTTTTTCAACTAATTTGTTAAATTTATTAAGTTTGTTTTAAAATTTTGTTTAAATATTAATAAGGTTAATTTAAAAGTTATTAAGTTTAGGATTATTTAGAGATTTTAAAGTTGGTTGTTATTTGATAAAATAAATTAAAATATATTGAGTTTAATTTTAAGGTTTATTTATTTTTTTAAAATTTTATTAAAGTTGGATAAAGTTATTCTAAATTTCTTTAACTTTATTTAGGTTTGTTTTAAATTCATTAACTTTGTTAAATTTTGTTAAAATTTATTAAAGTTTATTACACTTGATTAAAACTTTTATTGAATTCTAATTAAGTTTAATTTATTTAAAGTTTGGTTAAAATTTATTAAAATTTATTAAGGTTTGTTAAGCTTTGTTATTATGATTTGTCTTAAAGTTAAATTTGGTTAAAGTTAATTAAATTTTATTAAGCTTGGGTTGTGTTTTTTTAAATTTTGTTTAGTTGTAGTATTGAGCTCTATTTTGAAGTTTAAGATTGAGGTACAGATTTAGAGCTGAATTGGTTTGGAAGTGAGATTGAATTGAATTGAACTAACTTGATACGAAATTGATTAGTGTTGAACAAGTGTAAAGTGGACTTGAGCTTATTTCGATTGGTTTGGTTTTGAATTGATATGAAATTGAGTTGAATTTGATATTAAATTGGATTTGAGATTCAGTTGGATTGAGATTCGAATTGAGTTTGACTCAAATTTGAAGTTGAGTTTGAGATTGAATTGAATCCTAGCCTGAGGGTAAGAAAGTGTATGGCGTTTCTGGATGGAGGTGAAGCTCTAACATAAAATGACTCTAAAAAGAAGGCTATAAGTGGACTAACCTAAATTTTGAGAATAGCTCTCCCAGTCAAAGTTTAGATGTTAAATATGTAAATACATAAGAATAAAGTGGTATGTATTTAAATGCCCTAAAAATAATAATAATCATAATATGACACAAGAACATAAAAAAAAAGTTTGCCAAGCCCCAATACAGCCAAATCCTTCAAAAAGGCAAAAATTAAAGCCACCGTATACAAAAAAAGAGCAAAATGCTAAGAATCAACTAGAATTTCAATAAGTCCATGTTGACACTATTATCTTCATATAAGAGCAAAATGCTTCCTATAAGAGCAAACCCCTATAGTTAATACATCTTAGATAACCGAAGTCATCTAAGAAAACTTTGGATAAAAATCATGAAATATTATCTTCAAAGAGGTCAAAAGGATTAGGAATTTTGAACGAAATAAAGAGGTTGTTCAAATTTGAAACATTTATTGTAGGATCCAAAGGAGGACGAACTAGGGGATGTCACAGACCCGAAGGAGAACCTCGGTGACTGCCTAGTCTACCTTATTGTTTGGCTTCGGTTTAGAAGATAAATTATTTAAATGTTTCATTTTGTCGATTTTATTTGTTTAGGAATTACATTCAAGTGAAACACTCACACAAATAGCCTGAGAGATGTGAGGATTTATGTCGCGACGAACGATAACCTCAAAATCCTAAGATGAGTTAGGGTTTATATTGTACAACAGAGCTATACAAAAACCTAAAGATAGGGTGAGAATTTATGTTGCATTCCTATGGTTTGTTATTTACTTATAAGAAGAAATATGATGTTGTAGATCCTCTTGCTGTTGAAGATGGTCATGTTACCCACAATGCTAGTTCCAAGCTCTTCGTTGTAGCAAGTTTAAGTTTTCTAATATGTCAAGTTATGATGTCAAATCGGATGTCCCTAAGGTTATGGTCACTTAAATGTTTAGAGTGACACTGGTTAGAATCCTATGGTTCCCTCGTTCCGGTACCACTATTTTCTATCGGATTCACTTAGTCCAAATGAATTTACTAAACTCAACTTAATGAATTCCGTACTTTCATTTAAACCATGGGAAATCATGGGAAATCTCGTTAGGGAAATCTCGTTAGAAACCGTAGGTTATCTCCTCCGAGAGATTCCTGATCATCCGATAGAGACGTGTTAATTTAGTTGCAATTGTTGATTTGTGATGTTTGGTGATTAAATTTTGAGTTGTTCTTGAGTTCTCTTATATTTTGAATGTTGTGGCAGTGAATTTATCTTGGTTGATTTTAGTTTTAGTTTTAGTTTTGCGGCTATCCTAGCAGCTTTGGTTTTCATGCAAGGTGACATCATTTTTTAACATGCAAACTCGAGACAAGAAGTATAGAAAGGTAAATGCATTAATTTAAAAACATACATATCGATTGTTCTCGTTCCACCACCTGAAAGGTCAGAACTTGCAAGACATGTATATAATTTTGCAAGGAAATTTAAATTTCAGGATTCGATGAAGGTTTAGCTACCAAACCCCAAGTTATGATTTTATTGAATCTCAGAAGATCCTAGTAGATGATTTTAGAACAAAATATGGCAAGTCCAATTTGCCCTTCAGAAAGTCCAATAGATTTCAAAGTGCTCGAGGCATGACCCAACACGTATCATATTGTTCCATTAATCATCAGAGGTCGAAGTGTGACTACCTCGTTGCTCAGTGAAACTTGACAATTTAATTATCCCAATGATAGGTGTTTCCGTTCATTTTTCTCTTTTTTTATTTTAAAAAGGAGTCGCCAGCTTGTCGATCGTCGTATACTTCCCCCCATTCGAATAAATCTCCCTCCCGAACCATATAAATGATTCGAAGAGGAGAGGAATCAAATAAGAAGGGGCATACGACAAAGAGACAAACAAGAGAAAAAGTAAAACGTGGAGAGTCTATGTGCGATAAACCTCGCAAGGATAGGTTAAGAATGTCTGCCCAAATAAGATCGGGCGGAGGCACCTTAAACCAATATCCGCGAAAGAAATATCTACATAGACTACCCATAACCAGAGAGTCAGGTGTATGTACCTGTTCTAGGGTCAAGAGCACTCCCAAAGGAACGTGTTCCTACTGGTTAATTACATCTTGGGGGATACCCAAGAATACTCTCGATAAAAGGAGTTTCGCTTCATATTATCATA